ACTGAAAGCTACCAGGCTAATTTACAGTGTGGTGTCCACACAATGTCCAAATCACGTAACGTCTTATCTCACAGAACATATTGTGAGCTTTAGTGACACATGACTGTATAACAATCTAGACCAGATTAATCATTTAATTTCAATAGGATACAAAACTTTGCTCCTATCCAGCTCTGTTAGCATAATCCTTCTTTGCACTGTTCTTGCCATTCAAATTAAATCTATACATATTATGTCATTCCGTGTATTTATTGTTAATATGATTATTTTGCAGTTAGTATTGCTAATGAAATTATTTATTATTAATGTAATTATTGTTTTAAGTAGTTGTTTATAAATCAGGGAGGAGGAAAAATGTTAATTTTTAAAAAGGCAAACTAACATTTATAGTGTCTTTTATACTTACCTTAATCAGTGTTCTTTATTCTTTTCTGGTTTCAAATGAGTATGCTTTCATTTCAACCAGAAGAATTCCCTTCACTATTTTTTATTAGGCAGGTGTATTCTAGAAAGATTCTCTCCATGTCTGTTTATCTAGGAATGCTTCCTCTCTCAATTTTAAAGGATAGATTTGCTGACTATAGAATTCTTGATTAGTAATCTAATTTCCTCAGTGCTTTGAATATGGTTTCCCAGTGCCTTCTGGCTTCCATGGTTCCTGATAAATTAGCTGTAAAATTAATTGATGGTCCCTTTTACATTTGAATAGCCCTGGTGGTATACTGGGTTGCCCACTGGACAGCCAACCACAAGGTCAACAGTTCAAACTGTCAGCCATTCATTAGGAGTAAGCTTTCTAGTCCTGCAAAGAGTACAGTCTTGGAAACTCACAGGAGCAGTTCTATTGCCTTATAAGGTCTCCGCGAGTCAAAACTGACTCAAGGGCAGTGAGTCTGGATTCTGGTTTTTACATTTTGAGTCACTTCTCTCTTGCTGCTTTCAAGATTTACATTTCAGCATTTTGGTAATAAGGTACCCAGGTGTGCATCTCTTTTAGGTATTCCTACCTGAAGAGTGTTCATCTTCCTAGATGTGTACATTAATATTTTCCTTCAAAGGAGAGTTTTCAGCCACATTTCTTCAAATATTCTTTCTACTCTCTCTTTCTCTCCTGTCCTTCTGGTCTACCATTACATGGTCTACTATTTATGTCGAATGACATCCCACAGGTCTATGAAACGCTGTTCACTGTTCCTCTTTTTATTTTTCTTGCTTCTCAGATTGGGTAATCTCAATTGACCTGGCCTCAAATTCATCAAATCCTTACTTTGCCTACTCAGTCAGCTGTTGTACCCTGTTAGTGATTTTTCCATTGCAGTTGTATTTTTCAACTCCGGAATCCTCTTTGGTTCTTTTCTATCTCTTTGTTGGTGGAACTTTACTCTCATACTTTAATTCTTTTTACCAGGTGTCTTTTAGTTCTTTGAGCATATCTAAATAGCCGATTAATATCTTTTTCTTCTAACTCCTAAGTCTGGGCTTCCTCACTGACAGCTTCTATTGACTGCTTTCTCTCCTGTATATAAACTATTCTTGCTAGTTTGTTTGAATGTCTCATAATGTCTTATTTTGTTGGAAACTGCATGATTTAAATAGTTTGGCAACTCTACAAATTCTATTCTTCCCTTCCCAGGGTTTCTGGGTGCTGTTGTTTGTTTGTTTAGGGACTTTAATGAATTCTGTAAGGTCATGTTCTTTGTCATGTATGGCCACTAAGGTTTCTGCTAAGGTAGCATAGTGATCAATGAATGAGATTTCCTTAATTGCCTGGAACAAATACACCTGTCAGTCTGTGCTAAGGGGTCCAGTGCTGGGACCCTCAGGTGGAGCATTTAGGAAGTTTACAACTCTACCTCAGCCTTCACGTCCTCCTTGTGCAGATCCTCAAGGTAAGTCAGAAATGAAAGCTTAGGGAGGGTCTTTCTTGAGCATGCACAGAGCACTATGAATGCATGTGGCCATCTAGATTCCCAGGAGGATGTCAAGGGCTTTCAAAGCTCCCTGGAAACATCTCACTCCACATATTTTCCTCTTAAGTTTTCTACTAATTTTTGTTTGTCTCAATTGTTATCACCACTTCAGGCAGTTTTGTTATCAAATGGTCACTGACCATTTACAACAAATGCACCCTCCCCACTCCACCCCCCACCCCCACACACACCCCAGGGAAGACTGCACTGGGTGAGCTCTGAGTCAAGTTAAATAATGATAAAATTTCCTAGTGGGATTAGAAAGTCAAATAAAGTCAGTTTTCTGGGAGTAGAGCTTTGAAAGCATCTCAACAGCATTCTGACCCCTTCACTGGCTACTGGGCTGCTAGTTCCGCCGTAATTGTGGACTGTTGGTTTTCAAGGCACTTACCAGGCAACTACCACGACAACTATTTCTCACCCAACCAGATACTTAGTACCCATTAAGCAGTAACTCCCCTTTCCCCAACCAACCCCAGCCCTGATAAGCTATCTATCTTCTTTCTGACTCTATGAATTTGCCAATTCTAGATATTTCATATAAGTCATTTTGTTTATTTCATTATTTTAATGTTTTCAAGGTTCATTTATCTTGTGGCAAGAATTACAATTTCATTCCTTTTTATGGTTTAATGGTATTCTATTGTGCCATGCACGCTCGCGCATGTGTGTGTGTGTAATTTTATATAATAAATTCTTGGGGGGGGAAATGAGCTGATTCCAAGGGCCCAAGTGGAAAGCAACTGTTTTCAGAATGGTAGAGACAACAAATATACAAAGGTGCTTGACACAATGGATGTATATATGGATTGCGATAAGAGTTGTATGAGGCCCCAACAAAATGATTTAAATAAAAATAAAATTCTCATTACATTTTATTTTTCTATTCATCTATTGATTGGGTTGTTTGCACCTTTGGGCTATTGTGAATAAAATTAGTGTTCAGGAAGTCTGTTTGAGTCTCTCTACCTTCAATTATTTTGTTATCTACCTCGGATTGGTAGACACCAATTACCGTCTGATTCGGCAATTCCAATCCAAGGTAGATAACAAAATAATTGAAAGCAGAGACGTAGAGTCAGATGATATTTTATATTCAACTGTTTAAAGAACAGAATAGTTAAATTAGGGGTGGAAAGAATTGAAGACGCTTTTAGCAGTACCACTGGAACAGAGAAACTAGTTGGGTCAACTATGCTATTAGAAGAAAATACCCCTTAATTTCCTAATGACTGCCAAGAAACACGACGCACAGCCTTTACACAGTAGCCTGTGATTTTTATGCTAGGATCTAGTTATAATATTCAGAAGTCATGAAATGATCTGTGGTGAGAATCATCACAAAACTAATGGAACTCAAAAGGTACATTGCTATCTTCAGCCTCCTATAATGTAACTACGGCTGATATCGAGACCTAAGTTTGGGTCAGGATACCTAATTCTCTTCCTGCTGGAAATGACCAGGAGTGGAGATAAGTTTTTATTATGTTTACAATATCAGCTGCAGAACAACCCTACTTTAAGTTTGCAATACAGTTTCTTTCGCTGGTGCTATTTTTAGACAATAAAGCAACATAAGAAACCATTTAATAAAACCTTCAGCTTCTTCAAAATATAATTTTTTTAAAGACAATGCAGGAAAAAAAACTCAAAATCCCCCTATCTTTACAAAACATAAGTTTGAATGCTATTGTTAAAAAGTAATTGCAGAAATTGCCTTATATAATTTCTTAATTTAACAATGATACAAGCTAAGAGTCGGAGTGATAAATAACTAACTTCTAATTCACAGATACAGTCAGTCACATAGCAGCAGAGTCAATAGTTAAGATTAAAATTTCAAAAAAAAAGATTCAAATTTCATAACTTCAAGTTCAGGCGTCTCAAGAGAAAAAAATATTAAATGGGGAGCTAATAGCAATCAGTACAAAAAAGAAGAAAATGTTCTAAAACCGATTGTGTTAATGATTGTATAATACTTCTTGATATGATTGAATAACTGAATTGTTTGATATATGGATTATGTGCCAATAAAACTGGTTTATTAACAAAAGTGAAAAAACGCTCTATCAACCAGGTAAACAACTATATATAAATAATGTGCTCACCTCAAATGATTCTTATCTAGCAGGTCTGGCAAGATTTCTGTTTGGCAACACCTTGTGACTTCAATTGCACACATGTCTGAAAGTAGTGTACTAGAACCTAAATTCTGAGCACCCCATTCGCAGAAGGATATGGATGGCGGTTAAAACCCAAATGCCACTTGCAGAGTCCCCATGTAGATCAGGCCTCCACTGAATTTGTTGTGATCATTAACCACAGATAGAAATAGTCTTACCTTCAGCAAAGTGTGTCAGAAAGTGGGTTCTCTCCTCTCCTCTCTAGCCAGCAGAGGAGGGGCAGTCTCTCCTAGAGAATGGCCTACAGGGCCCTTGTTGGAGATCCCTGCACTGACACATAGTCATGAGTCATGCCCTATCAGTCATGCTGTGACTGCCTTATTCAAAAGGTCTTGGACCAATCTTATAAGTTCTTCTATTTAACCAATTGGGCTGCATTCCTCACCTGTATCTGTGATGTACTGCACTGCCACCCATCATGAATTTGTGACAGTCTCCTTTGTTCTGAGCCTTCTTTAATAGCATCCTGACTGTGACCTTGAGCACCATTACGACCTGGTGCTACTGGCCTCCCACCATCCGGATGCGTCTGTGCTTTTGTCCCTTTTAAGACTTAATAAATGATTTCCTTAAATTATATTGGGAATGGATTCTCTTTTGAGTCCCCAAAACAGTAGTCATACTTTCAAATATATATTGCTAAATTTACAGTTTCAATTAATTCAATTCTCACCAACTAATCTGGATTACTTAAGTGCTTATATTTACAAGAAAATAGAAAATTCTGAGGCTAAACAACCACACCAACTGCTAAGTTCAGAGTCTTCTTTCAAATCAATGACTAAATCGTTTACATTTATGCAAAAAAGGATGACAGAAAACTTATGAAATCTGTTGGTAGTATTACCTGTAGCACCAAGTGGGTGTCCTTTTGAAATCAATCCACCACTAGGATTTATGACCCACTTTCCTCCATAAGTATTATCTCCTTGATCAACCAGTTTTCCACCTTGCCCTGTGGAGAGAAAACCAATAGTCACAAATCTTAAAAATAATGCTACAGCAAATTATTTTTCTTTTAACTTCCAGATTTACAAACAATAAGTTTCTCTCTTTCTTTTTAACTTCTTATTGTATGAGCCCTGGTGACTGTTGGGTAAGCACTAGACTGCTAACCTCAAGGTCATTAGCTCACGCCTACCAGCTACTTGTGGGAGACAGATGGATTTGTTTGCTCCCATAATAGGTAAAGCTTCCAAAACTCTGTGCACCATCGCTCTAAGTCAAAATCAACTGAGTGGCAGTGGACTTTGATATTACAATTTGGGTGGAAGTTTCCTGAGCAAATTAAGTTACCCCATCATTTTGTTTTGGACATTGACTACATTCCCTCCATGTAAACAGCATTTTTCTCACTTCTTCCCCGAGTTGTTCATTTCAATCGATCCTTCTTTCCTACCCCTTCCTGAGGTGTATGTGCCTCCCTGGAGTTTCTAGTCACTCTACAGACCTCGTGTCTGGGTTGAAGCTGATCCTTAGGGTGGGGTTCAATCCCAGGCTGACTAGTGTCTAAAGGCCACATTCTAGGGAAGGAGGGTTTCTAGCCGTTTTTAATCAGACTAGAAACTATGGTTTTTATGATTTTTAATCATAAAATATTTTTTTCTCCTTCTCTGTCCACAACCATCTATTATAATCTTAATTAAAGTGGACATTAGTGGTAGTCAAGAATTTCTAGGAGCAAACATTTTTTTTCCTTAAATCATTTTATTGGGGGCTCGTACAACTCTTATTACAAACCATACATATATCCATTGTGTCAAGCACATTTGTACATTTGTTGCCCTCATCATTCTCAAAACACTGAGCAAACATTTCTTAACAGCCTACAATAACTTCAATTGGATATAAACACTTCTAAAGTTTAGTTGATAATGAGTCATACAATCTTATATTTTCAGGTCTGTCTAAATAAGATAGGCCAGACGAACAATCTAGAGGAGAAAACAATGGGACCAACAGTTCCAGAGGGACATGGGAGAGAGGGAGGTGGAGGGAAAGGTAGTGGTGTCAATAAACCCAGGGACAAGGGAACAATAAGTGATCCAAATTGGGTGTGAGGTGGGTGTATGAGGCCTGGTAGGGCATGATCAAATGTTAAGACCTTGAAAGTGAAAAAAAGTTTCTTAAAATACAAATAACATGAACCAGGAAAGAGCAAAAAAGATAATTATACTTCATCAAAATTTAAGATTCATTCTTTTAAGAGATACCATCAAAAAAAACCAAGGCAAGACACAGACTGTCTCAGAATATAGTCTCAGCATACATATATCAGACAAATGACTTATATCCTTAACATATAAAAAGAAAAAACAAAAATTCATACAACACAACAGAGAAGACAAACCAACAATAAAATGGCAAAATATCTGAAAACAGACATTTCACAAAAGATACATGAATGACCAATATGCACATTAAAAGATAAGCAGCACCATTACCGTATATACTCGAGTATAAGCCGAGTTTTCCAGCACGTTTTTTTTTTTTTAACATTTTATTAGGGGCTCATACAACTGTTATCCCAATCCATACACACATCAATTGTGTAAAGCGCATTTGTACATCGTTTCTCAAAACATTTTCTCTCCATTTAAACCCCCAATATTAGGTTCCAGCACGTTTTAAATGCATTTTTTGTGGTAAAAGTAGGTGCCTCAGCTGATATTCGGGTCAGCTTCTACTCGAGTATATATGGTTCTCTCATTTGGGATATGCAAATTAAAACTAAAAATAAGATACCAATAAACACTTTAACTAGATGCTGTAGAGTCAATTCTGGCCCATATTGACCCGGTTGTGCTAAAAAGTACACCTTTGTTCTAGAGTTTTTGATGGCTGATTTTTGGGGAGTGGATCACCAGGTCTTCCTCCCAACGCATCTTTAGGCACTCAAGCCTCTAACTTTTCAGTCGGCAGCCAAGTGTGTCAACTGTTTGCACGGTTCAGAGACTCCACACATTCTTTGCATTGTTGTTAGGCGCTGTTAAGTTGGTACCGACTCAAACAACAGAGCAACACACCACCTGGTTCTGTGTCATCCTCACAATTTGTCCTTCTGCTCGAGCCCATTGTTGCAACTACTATATCAGTTCATTCTGTCGGGGTCTTCATTTTTTTACTCTGTAGAATCATTAATATTTTAAAACTGACCACAGTAAGTGTTAGCAAAGATGTGAAGCACTTGAAACTCTTACACATGGGTAGTATATTTGAAACATGGTAACAACCACCTATGAAAAGAAAACAAATCTTCCAGATCCCACCAACTAGTTTTCCCATTTTCCTTCCTACAAGTACTTATCCAAACATAATTTGAAACAGCTAGAACCATATATTTCACTCCAGATCCTTTATTTCCCATTTAATACTATAAGCACCCTTGATTTCAATTATCTTTACACCCTTATCCTAGTGTTGGCAACATGGCAGGTTCTAAAGAGTCCAGCACCAACACCATTTACATTCACTTGGTAGTGTGGCAGAGCCATCATGGTAGGGAAGGCAATTAGTGGATTATTTTGTTTAACGGTGCAAGTAAAGTCTTCTCAGTGAAGTTTAACCAGTTAACCTGCTCCCTTCAGATAGTACCTTCCGGACAGAGTCCCAGTGCTTCATAAGTAAGGAGCTCGTTGACAGAAAAGCAATCATGGAGTTCTATTACATCAACATCATTTGGTGTCAGGCCAGATTTCTCATAGCACTTTCTGGCAGCTTCTTTACTCATATCAAAACCAACCTAAAACCAAAATCATATGCAAATTAGAGGCATAAAAAACTGAGCTTTTTAGATAAGGAAATGTTCTAAGTGGTCAACATATGCATAACTTCAATAGTTAGGAATTGATGACACACATTAACATCTTAGTTTATTCTATATTACACACAAAGCCCAAATAAAACATTACTTAGGAGGGAAAACATATATATTAAATGTCATACTATAAAGAAAGTATCACATATAACACATATGAAAAGGACTTAGAATTTCTTTGGCCATATCTTGTGGAAAGTTACAAAACTATATCAAACCACAACATATAGTTGTAGTAAGTTCAAGAGTTTTATCAATAGATCATTATGATTCAGAAACATAAAAAATAGGGAGAATTTCCATATGAAAACACATAATCTTTTAGATCATATAAGATTCAAACCTAGGTGGTCCAAAGCTCAGGATCTTACCGCCTCCTTGTTGTCAGATAATGAAAGAAGATGCAAACTCAATTTTCTTCAAATGAAACTGTTGTAATGCGGGTCTAAGTTCCACCTCTGCCACATCTTTGCTTTGTGATTTGTCACAGCAACATTTCCAAATTCACAAAGTTATTATGAAATCACTTTGTAAACTGTAACTAACCACTGTTTTGTTTATACGTATGAGTGCTTATTGCATAATGTGTACATATATTCTCAAATATTCTACGAACTCAAGATCAGAATTCTCAATCTCTTTCTTTCCTCCACTTTATACTCAATCTTCAGTGAGGCTTTTCGAAGTGCAGAGGAAGGAGAGGTATCAAGAAAATTCATGGGAAACACCCTTGTTTTCCCCTCAACTCTTCACGGTTGGAATTAGGAGCATATTCCATCAACTCAAAATAAAAGTACATAGTGCATGAATGAATGACGCGTTATCATACAATGACAGTGGCTCCATTGCAAGAAGGAGCTGTTCTCATTAGTTGTAATCCTGTAACAGACTCTTAAGGATGTGTTGCAATATTAAAACATCTAGAACATTATTTTTCAAGTAAATAGTTTCCAGAGCTATTTATTATGGCAAATTGGTGCCACCTTGAAATTTTAAACAGATATCCCTCAATTTGATGAATAAGACAGAACCTCAAATATACCGTTTTAATGACGCTTTTCTCTTCAAATGAGCTTGGGAAATCCGTCACCATCTCTTGTGCCAGAATTTCCACAGCTTTGGACTGCAGGCCATATTTCTGTACAAATGGTTCACTGGCCAAAATGGCTGCTGCGGCACCATCTGAAGTGGGACTAAAATGAAGTATGAATGATTACTTGCACCTGGGACCACCTGAACTCAATCCAAGATTCCAAACTAGGAGGTCTGTCTGTACAGGACAGTAGTTCTCAACCTTCCTCATGCCATGGCCCTTTCATACAGTTCCACATGTTGTGGTGACCCCCCAACCATAAAATTATTTTTGTTGCCACTTCATAACTGTCATTTTGCTACTGTTATGAATCAGGCGACCCCTGTGAAAGGGTGATTTGACACCCCCCCAAAGGGGCCGCACCCCACAGATTGAGAACCACTCGTATAGGAAATAAGTAAAGTATGCTTGCAGGTCAGTAGACTGTATGATAACACCATTAAAAATGCCCTGGGCTTTCCCACTGGAAGACTCAACCTTTTCTGAGGCCCTGCATGACAGTGAGTGTGCCTAGTCTTTCACCCCAAAAGTTCTGATGGTGAAGAATCCTGGATTTGCCTGTGTAGCTGCATAAGGCATCGTCTGGTTCCTTTTGATGAACCAGTACACAGATATTTCTATTCCAGAATAATAAAGATTCTACTGTAAGCCTGTATCGCTCTAAATTTCCTATTTCCTAAATAACTCAGCCCTGGTGCCTTTCAGAAACTGAGAAAGTATGTGATTTGGTTATGACTCTTGAGATCTCAAAAATCAATGCGTTCTTTTAGAACACGCTGAGAAGGAAGGGGACAAAGAGCAAGAAGCTCTTAGAAAGTTCAGCTGGACTTTCTACGTGGCCAGACTCTCCTACTGTGCCTGATAAAAGCTGCTCCAATTTGTTGGCTTCCACACTAGGCAGCATCTCTAGGACACAGCCTGGTATGAACTACGCCACAGGAGGGAGCTATGCAGCAACTACTCAGTCTTCTAGGCCACAGCAAGTGTCAGCCTGTCTTCAAGATGAAACTATTATGATCTTCGAGCTATGATTTTATTCTCCGCTATCACAGGTGAATAAAATTTCCTAGAGTAGAAGTGTACAGTGGAGAAAACAAAATACCCATAAATAAAACCTTTCGATGGCACTAGCCACCTAAGTCATGTTAATGAATAAATACAATGAAAAGAAGCAAAGTAGGCAGACGAAGTCATATAAAACATGATTAGGCAAGAGAAGAGACAGGCTGATGCTGCATGTGTAGAAAGTAAGGGTGCTTTAATGAAAGTAATGAGAGTTAGGGCTACCATGGTAGAAGTTCTACGAAAGCCAGAGACAGCAACAGAGCCCAAGGCTTAGCCCACAGCAGTTCCATCTCTCTATTAAATATTAAAGTGTGTTCTTCTTACCAACACTGCAAGACAGTCAAAAAATCAGTAACTTTTCGAGATTTCATCACTTCCTCTAAACTGTATTCCTTCTGGAATTGGGAATATCTAAACACAAAATATTTAGTTACCAAATGCGAGTTAGCAATTGCAATATTGTTGAAATGTTCTTGACCAGAACTTAAAAAAATATTTCTTTTCAGAAACAAAAGGCAGGCTTTTATGAATAATTCCAACTTTCAGCAAATAATTCACTTAAATGTTGAGTTTAAAAAACTCTAACTCCAAAATACTATATCCCGCCGGCCTCAACTAACCCTAGAGAATTAAAAATGCTATTAATTAAGAGCAATATTAAATGATTTGCAGCTCAGCTAACTTTTATGGTGATACTATGTAAGTACATTAGATGAAAACTAATAAGAAAACTCTTAAATAAATGTACAAAACCTGTACGTTTTCCTCATTTCTCAAAGCACATTTCTCTTCTGATCACTAGAGAGGAAAATTAATTTTAGCCCCAGTGACTCCTGGCCTCAGAAATACTGCTATGACCAAAACAGCAGCAAGAGACACCACAAAGGAATTCCTAACAGCTGACTTCAACAGGTATGGGGATTAACAAGCTATTCAAATACAGAACCGATAGAGATGCTGTTGCTTTGACCTGCAGATTAGTGTCTGCATATTTGCTTCTGAAGTTAATTATTTAAAAAAATGTTAATTGTGACCACTGTCAATTTTCAAAACACTTAATGTTGCCTTAGAACTATGTGCCAGATCTTGTGCTAAGCAATGAAACATGGACATAGTCTTGAACTTCAAGGAACTCAGTCTTATTCTGTGCAAACTAATATACACTTCTAATGCAATATGACAAGTATTGTGACAGAAAAATCAATCAGGGTAAGACAGTCCAAATATTAGAGTAAAACAAAGGAGTCAAACACCTTCCTCAAGAATCATATACCCGGGAACCGATTACAAGGATCTACATATAACCTCCTCCCTGGGGGAAGGACAACAGAAAAGTGGGTGAAGGGAGACGTTGGACAGTGTAAGATAGACAATAATTTATAAACTATCAAGGGTTCATGAGCGGGGAAGGAGGGGGGAAATGAGCTGATGCCAGGGGCTTAAGTGAAGAGCAAATATCTTGAGAATGATGAGGGCAATCAATGTACAAATGTGCTTGACACAATTAATGCATGTATGGATTGTGATAAGAGTTATATGAGCCCCTAATAAAATGATTTTTTTTAAAAAGAATCATATACCCAACACAATTGTCTTTCTAATACAATGGTGAAATGAAGACATACCAGATAAGCAGAAATTATGGGAATTTGTAAAACTCAGAGCAAGCTTACAAGAAAATACTGAAGAAGTTGCTCTGGATGGAAAACAAACATTAAACTACAGCTTCACCAAGATATCAAGTCAGCCAAAGAATTTTCAAAACTATGGTAAATTCTACAACATATACAATTCTGCAACAACAGTAATAACAACAAAACATGTAAGTCCTTATATAGATAAATATGGTATGTACAGAAGTACAAGCATTTAAATATACAGAATTGTAAGCATTTATACATATTTATATACATATAATAGCACACATACGAAACATACCAAAAGATACTTCTTAGACATACCCAAACACCTCATGGATCTGAAGGCTAAGGTCCACAGTCTCTCGAACATCTAAGTCAACTAGCATAACAGTTTCTAAAGATAATGTTTTGCATCCTACTTCGGTGAGTAACATCTGAGGTTTTAAAAGGTATAAGTGGTCATCTAAGATAACAACTTTGGGTCTCTTCCAAAATGTAATAAAGGAGAGCAAAAGAAATCAAAGACTCAAGGAGGCAATTAGTCTAGAGGACTAATGGTCCACATAAAACACAGCCTCCTTTAGCCTGAATCCAAGAATTAGATTGTGCTCAGCTATCACTGACTAATCTGACCATTAAGCCTTGTTTTTTGTTTGTTTTTTAATATTGAAAGTTCTTTATTACCAACAGACTACCACCAGTTTCCCAGCTATATACTAAGCCCTATGTGTCTCTCCAAGCCATGCTGAGGACCCATGAGACACAACCATAAGCTAACTCTTTCTCCTTTCGGGGGACCAAGGTGCTCCCTGGGGCACACAATGTGCAGAGGGTCCTCAGGAAAGGAGTCAGAGGACACGACCAAGCAGCATACCATGTGGAGGAAGGTTGGAGATGGGGCCCCTCTTGGCACCCACTAGGAAGGGTTACCCCGCAGAAGAGGTGGGCGGGTGCAGGAGTGGGAGGCTCCCTAAGTAGTGATGGCTCCAGTGGCAAAGAGCTCAATGAAGAGGATGAGGATGAAGACAACCAAGCGGATGATGACAATCATCTTCCCGTTTTCCCACCAGAACTTGGAAGCCACTTTCTGCGATGTCATCTTGAAGTGCTTGGATATGGCTTCCAGGTCATCTGTCTTGTGAAGATGGTCCAAGTTTTCTCCTCGGGCCAGGATACATTCCACATTGTGGGTCATAATATTCTTGACTCACACCACCTTACTTTGTGAGTTCTGCACCTGGTAATTCCCTCCTCCTCTATTGGCCTCCTCCATTTATCAGGAACAAAAGCCACGCTTGGTGGCCATCTTTCAGCCAAATACTACACGGGCCTCTAAACACCCATGATGAATAAGCTCCTTAGAACAATCAACTGTAGGAGACCAAATGGGCAGCATTTGCACAAAAGCAAAAATGAGAAGGCCAGAAGGATGGGGAGACTGGAGGGATGGAAATGGAGAAAGCAGGCTGGAAATGGGAGAGTGCTGGCACGACACACAGATCACAGACAATGTCACGGAACAAATTGTGTATAAAATCACCCAAAATATAATAAAATGATCAACAAGGGGAAAAAAGAAAACAGAAGCAATGGATTTTGTCCTCAGGGGGGGTTTATATTAGGAAGAAAACTACACAGATTATGGAATGATGTGCAGCACGTTACTTTCTCTAACTGTGGAATGATGTGCAGCAAGTTACTTTCTATAACTCTTAATTTCCTAATCTAGAAAATAGGGATATTAATATCTACTCTATTGAATCCTTGTGCCAGGGCCCCTGCTGGTTTAGTGGGTTGTATGTTAGGCTCCTAACCACAGGTCAGCAGTTCGAAACCACCAGCTACTCTGTGGGAGAAAGGGGAGGCTTTCTATTCCCATAAAGAGTTACAGTAAACTTCGGGAGAAGGATATATCTGACCAGAGCACACAGGAACAGATGACGGGGGAGGAGGAGAGACTGGAGCACATCCTGACCCACTAGGCCAAA